CAGGGGTATACAGTGCTGTTTTCAAAACATGTTTCGCGTGCGGATCATGCATAAACAATGCAGGGATTTGGCATTAAAAACAACGATGAGTTCATGCGTAAACTCATTCATGAATTAGTAATGTATTGAACATCCCATTTTTTTTAAGAAATACTGTGTATTAAAAACTGCCCTGTAGGGACGTCGACCCGGAGCGCGTTATCGAAGGCACGTCGACCCGGAGCGCCCCGCAGCGCTCCCGGAGCCTCTTGAGAGCCTGCCCGGAGCGGGCCGCGGCGATCCGGTGCCGTGCTCCAGACCCGCCGGCTCTCCCGGAGAGGTGCTTGCCCTCGGCTTTGGCAGCTTCGGGGGGCCCCTCCCGTACACGGAGGTGTTTCCCAGCGTCACGTCGGGCCTGTCCCTTTGCAGGAGGAAGATCCAAACATAGAACAAGAAATAGTCGGGGGGTTATGTTTCGGGGGTGGACAGAACCCCCAACAGTGACACGTCGATTAGTGAGCTGTCCGTTGTCGGTTCTCGAGAGGGCGCCGCGGCCGTTATTTTCCAGGCTTGCGCCCGCCAGGTTTGGGCCTCAGGTCGTTTTCACTAAACCACGTTTTACTAAAGGGGGGTCTGTCCATCCCCGACTTAGCGTTAAGTCGGGCCTGTTCCTCCACAGGAGGAATGTCCAGAAATAGGGCAATAAATAGTCGGGGGACTATGTTTTGACTATGTTTGGACATTTTTAGCATATATTTCTGGTATTTCCAATTTGTCGCCGGAAATCCCTCCGTAGGGGGACGTGCCCGACTTGATCTATTTTTTCTCGCCCCGAGTTGTCCTCAGATGCTCCTTCGTCTCAAGGCGGCTTCCACAGTGCAGAGGACGCAGAAGGTTAGTTGTTTTTGTTTTTCCGTTGTCCGTTTGTTTCTTGGTTTGGGTGCCAGGATCTGCGGAGAGGGCTGAGCTCGCCAGCCTGATACTACCTATCCTTGTCGCTGTGATTGGCATCACCCCATCTCGGTGCGATTTCAAAGATCTCTTCAGCTTCTCAGGGCACATCCCCAAGATCTTCATCGCCTTGGGCGTGCTCAGGGGCAATGTTGGGAGGGATAGGCTCGGGGCCAGATAGCCCGCCCCGCCCGGGAACTTTGGATTCGCCATCGGGGGTTTATCGCCGATTTATCGGCGATGTATCCTCGATTCAAGAGCGATGTTTCCCCTCCCCGCCCGAGCAGGTCCACCTCTAACGCTCCTTCTGAATGAGTGTCCAGCTGCCTGCGGCAAGTCCCGCCACCATGCCAGCTTAGCATTTTGTGTGGCGGCTGTTCGAGGAGGCACGGGAGGCCGTCACGTGTGACAACTCGTGTAAGTCTCCAGGCTTGGGAGAGCCGTGATGAGGATGATGAGCATTATGTAGATGATTGGGGTGGTGACGATGATGACGACGACGTCGATGGTGATGATGATGTTGATGATGTTGATGATAAGGATTATGATGTTGATGATGATGATCATGATGATGGGGACGATGATGGGGACGATGATGATGATAATGATGATGATGAGGAGGAGGAGGAGGGGGATTATCTAGATGATGATGATAGTTTCGGTGGTGGTGCTGCTGCTTATGCTGAGGTTGGTGGTTATGGCGAGGATGAGAATGAGGGCGGCGACGGCGACGGATGTGGTCACGATGACGATGGCGTTGTTGACGATGGTGATTATGGTGGTGGTAGTGAAATTCATGCTGATGATGGTGACGATGAGGATGATGAGTTGAATGCTGATGATGGTGAGGCGATTGTGATGGTGAGGATGATGGTAAGAATCATGATGAGTATGATGTTGATGATGAGGATGATGGTGATGATGCTGATGCTAACGCTTATCAGGGTCATGGTGATGAGGGTGATGCTGATAATGCTCATGGTGGTGATGGTGGTGATAATGACGATGATGCTGTTGATGGTGACGGTGCTTTTGTTCATGCTGATGCGAGCGTCTATGATGATGGTGATGCGGATAACGCCGATGATGATGTTGATGTTGATGGCGATGATCATGCTGCTGTTGATGCTGTTGGTGATGCCGTTGCTGATGCTGAGTATGCTGCTGAACATGACGGTACTGATGATGATGTTGATGATGTTGATGCTGCTAATGATGATGTTGGTGTTGATGATGATGATGTTGAAGATGTTGGTGATGATGATACTGATGCTGTCGAGGATGATGCTGATTATACTTTTGATGTTGAGACTGATGATGCTAAGGATGATGAATATGCGCATACTGAGGATGATGATTATGATAATGACAACACTGAAGAAGAATAATAAGATCAGAAGATGAGTACGCCGACGGCACTGACGATGACGGAATTCGTTTGGGCCGTCTCTGGTTTGTGTTGTTCTCTTGCGGGGCAGTCTCAGCGGGTCCCTTGGGGCTCTTTTGGGCAATCTTTCGGCCCTCTTACGCCGGTGTGGCGCTCTCTTGGGCCGTCTTGGGGCCCTCTTGGCCGTGTGGTGGGTGTCTGGCGGCCGTTTTGGCGCCGTCTCTGGCCGTCGGAGGGCCTTCTTAGGCCGTGCTGGGTCCCATGGGAGGCTCTCTTGGGCCGTCTTGAGGCTGGTTTGGATGCCTCTTGGGCCATCGTGGAGTCCTCTCGGGCCGCCTTGAGCTGACGGAAGCCTGAAAAGGCGAGAGTGCGAGCAGCATTCAAAACCCAAGGATGATTTTGATTTGAACGGACCCTGTTGGAGGTCTTTTTGTGACCATGTCGGGCTCTCTTGGAGGCATCTTGGGTCGTCTTCAACTAATATTCGGCCGCCTCGGGGCCCTCTCGGGCCGTCTTCGAGGCATCTTGGGCCGTCTTGGTGCCCTTGTTTGCCTGCGCGGGCCGTCTTGGAAGCTCGGGGCGCACACCCATCGTTTTCAACATGGAATCGTAGCTTGGGAGGCCCTGGAGCGCTTGGGAGCAGCGCCTGGGAATGCGGGAAATTCGCGATCATCGAGCGGGCGCGCGTGGGATGAGCGGCCTAGGAGGTAGTAGCCATGCGGGAAGTGCACGATCATCGAGTGGGCGCGCGTGCAATGAGAGTTCAGGCATTAGCTGCCATGCGAGAAGTGCACAATCCCCCAGCAGGCATGCGTGGATGGGGGTTCAGGCATTAGCTGCCATGCGGGACGTGCACCATCCTCGAGGGGGCACGCGTGGAATGGGGGTTTTGACACTATCTGCCATTATGCGAGTGCACCATCCTCGAGCAGGCAGCCACGAGGGAACTGGCCTTGGAAAGAAGGGGCGATGCACGCAGGAGAGTGGGTAGGGAGCGGGGGGAACCCTTATTAGAATGCAGAACAACAATTGACCAGACACACCTTGGTATTCTTCCACGTCTCAACGTTCCAGGGGGCACGGTGGCGGATACCTATCCCTATGATGAGAATCACCCAACCTCGGTGCCAGTCTCAATAATATCCTCGGCTTCTTGGGGCCCATCTCCAAGATTGTCATCTCCTTCGGCGTGTCGTGGGCGTGTAACAGATCCTTTTTCCCGGCCTCGCTGGCCAGGCCCCTGGGCTAGGACCCCAAGGATGCTGCGCTTGTTTCACCGGATGCCCCGCGCGTCGCGTATCTCTGCGATCGCGTACCCACGGGATCGCGTCCGGAAGCCAGACCGCGACGACGGGGATCCGGATTTTTGTGTTCCGCTCGTGAGCTCCTGAGGGCACATCAACAAGTTTGTCTTCGTCGTCGGTTTGCTTGCCAAGTGTGGAGGCCTGGATCAGCAGGAGGCTGGAGCGCGGCGACTCTCTGCAAGAAGGTGCGATGCGTCGCTCACCCGCGCGCCTTCTTATCCCGCGCTCGCCGTGCGCCCTCGAGAGACCAGCGCGCCGCAGTCGCGTGCGCTCCGCTAGAGCTAGGAGGCAAGCCCTGGAGGCCTCTCTGCTGCGCGCGGTAGACGTATGTACCTATGATGGGCCAGTTCTCCACCACCACTGCCAGGGTTAGGAGGAGGGAGAAGGGAGGACGGGGAGGTCCTCCTCCTCCGCCTCCTCCTTCTCCTACCTGCGGCAGTGGTGATGGAACATTGGCCCATCAATCTAGAGTCCACAGGTCCGCCCCGTCAGATAGTGAGGCGCCGCTCGCGCGGCGATGTGCTGACTGTACTCAGGCGTGCATCCGACGCGCATCCGACGTGCACCCGACGTGGATGCGACGCGAAGTCGGTCTCAAGTTGCCACGCGAGGCATCCCGGATGCTCCTCACAGGGCTGCACCTGGAACTGTACTCAGACGTGCATCCGACGCGAGTCCGACGTGCACCCGACGTGGATGCGACGTGAAGTCGGTCTCAAGTTGTCGCGCGAGGCATCCAGGACGCTCCTCACAGGCCTGCACCTGGAAAAGTAGTGCAGCTTTTGCAGGTCGGGTCGATCACTGCCAACCAGACCACGCCATTCCAAACCGAAGGCCCGAGGACCGATCTTCCTTCCCCGTGGGGGGGGCGTCCCGGAACGTTGCAAAACATAGATGGAAGCCGTACGCCCCCAAACCCGAAAATTAGGACTTCTGGTTGGGTTGGGGTGGTCTGGTAGGTAGCCAGTCGAGGAATTGTCCGTGGGACTTCCCTGGGGATAGTTGGTCATGCCAGGTCTGCTTCTGACGGTCCTGGGGCCCGAGAAAGGGTCCTGGAGGTCAAAGACGCGACGCAAAGGGTTGCATTATTTTGTTCAGGGTAGTGCATAGAAGTCGCCCTTGCCTGTTAGGGTATGGATCAGGAGGGGCATCTGTATATACATATTTGTATATATATGTATACATACACACACAAACACACGAAATAAACGTCGCTTACCTGGAAGATACCGGAAAATATGGGAAGGGAAATGGAAGCCCCAATCTGCGAAATATGGGAATTCACCGGGAATCGTGGGATGTGTGTCTATTCACTCGTGTGCCCCCTGGCCCCTGACATCGAGAGCCTCCGCGCCCTGGCGCCCGCGCGAGCGCGCGAGGTGCTCGAGGACCTGGCCGACAAGGCGAGCACGCAGCTGGCGGCCGCCCGCAAGAAGGCCGCGCGTGCCCCGCCTCCGCCGGCGGCGGCCGAACCCGCCGCGCCCGCTGCCCCCCCGCTGCACGGGGCAGGGCTGCCACACATGGACGCCAGGCCTCCCACATGGGCCAATGGGGTCCGAGCAGGTGGGGTCTGGTGCATCGGCGATGCGGCTCGGTGTGGAGCCCGATTCTGGCCACGCCGACGTCGCCGACGCATCGCCGATGCATCGGCGAGGCTACTCGGAGCCCATCTGGGAGGCCTCTGCAGACCCCCATTGGGTAATGAGTGAAGCATGACGCAGGGTTCTGTCGTGCTGTGCCGCCTCTGGGGGCCCTTGAAAAACGGGTTTGGCTGAAACACGGTTTCCAGGCAATGGGTCGAGACCTGGGGGTCGACGTCATGACAAGATTATGGCGTCGGGAGTCTAGGTCAGGGTTCCCTTCGGAGCCCGTTCGGCGTCTGAGCCCGTTCGGCCGCCGATTTTGAGTTTGTCCGGCGGCCGCAGGCGCCGCGCCCCGTGCCTCCCGGGGCGAGGCACTTGGGATCACCGCTGGGGGTTAATAAGAAGATAGGTGGGGCTCTAAGTGGACACCACGGTGGGTTCGATCTGACCTGACGAGGTTGACCAGTTTCTAGGCCTCCTAGATGGGGTCGGAGTAGATGGGGTCGGAGGATCGCGCCGCATCGTCGATGCATCGCCAATGTGGCTCGATGTGCAGCCCGATTTGCCCCACGTCGACGTCGCCGATGCCTCGCCCACGTCGGCGATGCATCGCCGGTGCATCGCTGATGCATCGCCGATACATCGCCGATGCATCGCCGATGTATCGGCGATGCGGGGCGATCCTCCGACCCCATCTACTACGACCTCATCTAGGAGGCCTCTACAGTTGCTTACACATTCAACGAGTGGTTTCAAATGGTTAGGTAACTCTACTAGGTAGGTTCCGCCCAGTTAGCCCAGACCGCTGCCTCCCCGAAAGCAGCTGAGGCCACTTGGAACCCGCTTATCAGCTAGGTTCGGCCAGATATAACCAACCTTGACATCCACTTAGATACCCCCCTATCCCCAGAGCAACCCCAGCTTTGGTCAAAGCAGGGCTGGCCGCGGTCCGATCCCAGACACGCTCGCGTCGTGAACAAATGCACCACGGGAGGTTTTTGCCAATCTTTGTGGCCTCCTCGCAGATTTTGGCGTCGCGATCTGTTCGAGCCGGGCTTTTTCGCTCAGGTGCGGGCCCCTGGGACCCTCACGCCCCGATCATTGGATACCGATTTTTTTCGGGCGCGATCGGTGGCGACCGGTCGGCACTCCAAGTCGGTTGCGACCGACCGCGACCGATCCCAGAATCGGTCGCGATTGGTCGCCACCGATCGCGACCGAGTGGTCGCGACCGAGTGGTCGCGACCGATTTTGAAGCACAAGTCGGCCGCGACCGATACCGACATCTGAAGCAACATCGGTAGCGACCGTTCTCGTCGGGCGCGACTGGAAAATCCCAGCCTCCCATGATCAGGGCAGGTCGATCCAGCTCGAAAGATGCCGCAGAATGACGTGGTCTCGGACTCCTGTCGTGCTTTTCCCTGATGTGGCAATCTTTTCGCTGCGTCGGCTCTCGGGGTCTCCGCCGAGCCCTGAAGCCGTCAAGAGCTGCTCTCGCGATGGAGAGCCCGGCCGGGGGAAGGGGTCGGGGTTCCTGGAGGCCCCGCGTGGACAGACGAGAGGAAGCGGACGTCTGGGGCAGGGCTGCCCTCGGTTTCTATGATTTCCAGAGGAGAGACATCGAGCACCAGGGAGGTGCCCAAACTGGCGTAATTATGTTCACGCGTGGTGCCCTGGGCGGCGGCACTCTCGTTGGACACTGTCTCGATGTTTTTTTTCTGTGTGCTCGAAGTTATTTCTGGGAGGTGGTCCTTCAGCACGACGGGAGCAGCATTCAGGAGAGGAAAAAACACACACAATTAATCCTCGATTCCTCTGAAAATATGGGAAAATATGGGAAGTTCGGAGGAAGACAGAAACCTAGAAAATATAGGAAAATATGGGACATATTTTTATTTGTGTGCATTTATTTGTGTGTGTGTCCCAGGGCCCCTTCAAACATGACCCTCGGTCTGATTCGACCCGCTCCGATCCGAGAGCATCGGTTCCTGGTCGCGGTCCAGTCCCGTCTGGCACGAGAGCCGGTGCTCTGTCCGGACAGCATGGGCCGAGCCCGCTCCGCGATCCCAAGCGGCCGGGGCCCGACATCCGATTCCGCGCCTGCCTGATCAGGGGATGCTGGAATTTTCCAGTCGCGCCCGACGAGAACTGTCGCTACCGATGTTGCTTCAGATGTCGGTGTCGGTCGCGACCGATTTTTGCTTCAAAGTCGGTCGCGACCACTCGGTCGCGACCAGTCGGTCTCGATCGGTGGCGGCCTGTCGTGACCGATTCTGGGATCGGTCGCGGTCGGTCGCGACCAATCGGTCGCGACCAGTCGGCCGCGATCGGTGGCGACCGGTCGCGACCGGTGGCGACCGAAACAAATCGGTATCCAATGATCAGGGCAGATCTGGGCGCGGTCCTCTGTGCGTTTGCGACCCAGTCCAGCTTCGCAGTTCGATGCAGCACCGGCCTGCGGGGGGGCGCCGGAGCGTCTCGCCCATGCTGACCCAGACCCTATTGCTTCGCAACAGGGGTGGTCGGCCCCGGGCTCCGTGCACAGCCACTGAGGATGGAAGTCGCAGTGTTGTGGGAGGTGTCGAGGCTCGTGGGGTCCGCGCTGTGAGCCAAAATCGCGACGCAGGCGTCTTGGGGGGGGCTCTGCAACCCTCCGCGACACCAAGGCAAGCTTTTGTCCACGACGTGGTGGCGCCCCTGGACCTTTGTGGGCCCCTGAAACGGCAGGGCCGTTTTTGCACCGTTTCCAAAAAAATGTCCCTTGAAAATGGAAACGGAAAAAAAACGGCGACTGGAAACGGCAAAAAGACGGCTCCAGGATTGGAACCAGAGCCGGAACCGGTCAAAGAACGGCGACGGAACCGGTAAAAACACGGCGTTGGAACCGGCAAAAAAACGGCAAAACGGAACCGGTAAAAAAACGGCCCTGTCGTTTCCAGGGCCCGCTAAGCCCTGGACCCCCTGATTTCTGTGCTCGCGCCAGAGCTGGCGACTTCGATTCGTCTGCGGACCCGCGGGCCGCGCTGCGCACGTCGCTGAACAGTGACATATGCACGTCGCTCAACAGTGGCATTCGGCGGCGGGGGGGGGACTTGCGTTGGATGTCGCACAGGGTGGCATACAGGGGGGAGGAGGGCTCAATCTCGTGATGCTCCTTGGGCATCTAAAGCGCGTTGCCACGGCTGGTGTCCGCCCCGAAGTCCTGGCTGGAGCCTGCCCTGCAAGGGCTCCCGGCTCTCGGCTCGTAGCCCCCCTCCCCCCTCCCCCCGCGGGGACGCGGAGGCAGCCGCGTGCCGCGCTCCGCTCGGGCGAGTGCTGCCCACGGCGCCCCTGGCCGAAGGTGCCGCCAGGAGCCCCACCGGCGCCGCCTCCACCGTGGCAGCCGTCCGTGGCCCCGCGGGGGCGCAGAGGCTCCGCCGAGACGAGCGAGCCACCTCCAGCCCTCCTCCTCCTCCTCCTCCTCCTCCTCCTCCTCCTCCTCCTCCTCCTCCTCCTCCTCCTCCTCCTCCATCCTCCTCCATCCTCCTCCTCCTCCCCGTCCTCCTCCTCCTCCGGAGGAGGAGGAGGCAGTGTCCGGAGGCCGGGCAGGTCCGGCGCGCGGGGCGGCCTGGGACTCCGCGGAGGGGGCGAGGCGAACGCGCGGGTCTCCCAGACCTGTGCCGGGCCTCCCTGGGGGCTCCTCCGGCGCTGTCCGTGGCGCGTTCCGTGCGCCGGGCGGCGGTGGTCCAGCACAGATCCAAGCAAGCGGGGCCAACTTTCGAATGGTTCTGCTTGTGCCGTTGTTCTCTCCGGGGATCGACATGAGCGCTCACGACGCTGACGCGGCCCTGGCGGGGACAGCGCGCCAGCGGCGTTTGAGCTCATACGTCTCGTCGAGGCCCTCTCAAGCAGGGTATGGTTTCTGCTTTCGATGTTTGTTGGCCCTTCGTAAAGAATTCGAATGCTTCTGGGAGCTGGTTTCAGTAGCCATTGGCTCGAGCCGGCGCTTTTCCCGCTCGAGCGCGCCTTTGTTCTCGCACGAGCCTCAGTGGCGCCTGGGTCGTCGGAGCCAGAATGGATTCAGACGTGGGACGTGACAATCAGAATAGCGATAGCGCGTTTGGTCAACGCAGAGCGCTGAGTCCCTGCAGGAACGTAGCGCAACCGTCACGGACCTTGATCTCTACGTGGTCGCCCGACGCAACACAGAAGAGTTGTTGTGTTTGAGGCTCACAGCAATGGAGCAATGAGGACGATGGCGAATTAGCTACCGGCGGTGAAGATGGGAAAGCCCACGAAGGCCCACGGTGGTCCTTCATTGGCGCTCGGGGAGATTCGCGTTGACGCGATGAGGGGCTCGTAGATTTGCAGGATCTTGCAAACCGTTGTTTTTTACGTCAGGGTTTTCAGGCACCCCGCTTCAGCAGCACAGTATCATGAACTCTGGGCGGCCCGCGACAACAGGCCCGAGCCCACCGGTCCTTTTGCTCGGGTTCTCCCAGACTGCGCTCGGAGATGCCCCAGGCAAGGATGCTCTCCGCGCGCGCGGGGCGCAGTGCCCCTGCTCGCGCCCCGCAGGCCACGTCTGGCCAGCCGCTGCCTTGTTCCAGCGTCGAAAGCATCGGCCCACGCGGGCCCGCAAGTATGATCTTCAAGGGGAGCCCGCGCGCCTCGTTGGCTCCCCCGTGTGCTAAGGACAGGGCGGGGGGCTCTCGCAGCAACGCGCGAAGGAGAGGGAGGATGAAGATGCGGAGGAGGAGGTGGAGGAGGAGGAGGAGGAGGAGGAGGAGGAGGAGGAGGAGGGGGAGGAGGAGGAGGAGGAGGAGGGGAGGAGGAGGAGGAGGAGGAGGAGGAGGAGGAGGAGGAGGAGGAGGAGGAGGAGGAGGATGGGGAGGGCTTGAGTTTTGTTCGAAGAGGTCGTCGGTCCCTGCAAGGCCGCCGCGGCACCCGATGCGCTACAGTCTTGCTTCCGGCCTGCCAGGCCGCAGCTCTTGCCACCAGACGGGCCCAAGGCCCCCCAAGAGACCTCATCAAGCTCTTCTTGTGCTGTGTGCCTCTAGGCTCTCCAGATATGCGCAGGGACTTGACGATAGCAGGCGGGACACGAGTCAGAGGCTCCAGCAATCAAGGGCCGTTGGTTGGGTGTGCTCCCTGTGGACGAGGTGCCTCGTTGTTGCGAGGTGCTCCCTGCACGGTGGCGGGAACGCACACCTGTGCCCAAGGCGCCCTAGGAGGTTTCCAGAAGCCCCCGAGAGATTTCCGTAGGGTGACCCAAGACGGTCCACCACCATGACCTGAGAAATATTGCATCAAGCAGGCCGGGGACCAGACCAGCCGCCTGAAGCCACGATGCCCGCCCAGTCAGTTGTCTTCTTCTCCCCTGGAGCTCAACCGTCCAGCCCGAACCCGCAATTGGAAGAGAACGAAGAACAGGACACATCGGCAGAGTGAGGCGAGGGAGAGGAACAGACGCGGATGAGGGGAGGAGGAGGAGGAGAGAGGGGTATGGCGAGGAGGCAAGGGAAAATGAGGACAAGGAGCGGGCCGAGCTCTGGTTCGGACGCGCACCAGCGCCATCATGCACCCGTCGGCACCAGATGAGTTTGAGTTTCCGCAGCGGGGTGTCTCTTCTGTAGCTTTCATTCGGCCACCAGCTCCCGTTGTTGCTAAACTTCTGAGGCCCGTGTTTTGCCACCCCGTCGGCGTGATCTTCTGGTTGATTGCACGCCCCCTCTTTTCGTTTTGACATCTTGATCGTCCATGTGCATGACGCAGATGCGCATGTTGTGCATAACTAGCACTGTAGTGCCACACGTGTACGTGATCGACCAGATCCTGGTTTCTATGGTTCTCTTTCGCAAGGAATATTACTGCTAACGCGTTGCATTGTTACACTTGCTCACAAGGAGGAGGCTGCGATGCACAACTACGCCATGCTGAAGCAGAGTCTCGAAGATGAGATCAAGTTCTCGACCAAGGACAAAAAGTTACTGTCGTCGCATGCGTGTTCATTGCGGTACCCATTCTGTTGACTTGTGTCCGAGTGTGTACTCTCACTCATCGTTGGGTTTTAGTGTTCAGCCGAGCTCCGTGCTCGTGCCATGGGTAGTCTGACAGCGACCATGCTGTATCTCGCATCGCATTCCGGCCTTGCCAGTCTCTGGATCAAACACAGGTTTGGTGTAATTGTGGGTGCTTGGTGGTTTGTGTGTGAGTGTATGAATACTTCACTGGGACTTGCAGCTTCGTTCGCGCTCCATCACACAAGGTGGTCCATCTACTTTGGGCGTGTCCCGCCTTTGCAGTTCTTGAGTTGGTGATTGTGCTCCATGGCGTCGCCGCAGCGCTGGAGGAAAGAGTGCCTGAGTACTTGCGTGTGTGTGTGTGTGTTTGTGTGTGCCAGCTGCGGCTGCCTCGCAAGGGGGCGAATCCAGTCTGCGCGTGCCCCGCCTCACCATGTGCACCTCCGTTTGGAGTCACTGGGCGAGTCGGAGACAAGTGTGTGTGTGTGCGTGTGCGTGTGCGTGCGTGTGGAACGGGTTTAGCATATTGGATCGCCCGTGTGGCTCTTCGCCCCAGCCGCGTGCGCTCAAGAGTCGGATGACGGCTTGCCTCTCCCGTCGGCGCCGCCCTCGCTCCGGCAGCTCGGGCTCCCGTGCACACCCTCCAGTACTCATTGAGCGCCTTCCACTACTCGCAGAGCGCCTCATCGCAAACGTCCGGGCCAAAACGTTCCTTCCTCTACGCAATGTATCGTACATCCCTTGCGGCGGATCCAGGCAATTTGCGAGCAGTGATCTGCGAGTAGTGGAACGCGGTTGTCCCAGTACAGTGCTTCCCGGTGCCTCAGCCTGCTCTCTCTCTCTCTATGCTGTGGGTCTCCTCCCGCGTTCCTCCTCCGCGGCCGCCCTCCTCTTTCTCAATGCGTGAATTACCTACCCCGCTTTCGCTTCCAGGCAAAACCAAGTCCTACCAAGCACAGGCCGCAGTTTGGCCTCGCTTGGTACCTCTTGGAAGCGAGGGTGGTCAAAAGCGAGGTAGGTTTGTTTGCCCCCTACTTTCTCCAGGCCGCCTCTGTGTGCGCTTTTCCTGCCCGCTCGTCGAGCGCGCTGGCGTCCGCCCCGGCACATTTTGTGTGCGGGTGCCCGCCTCGGGCGTGCCGTGCTCCCTGCGGACTGCGGCGGGAGTCGGGCAATCCAGCATGAAGTCGGGCCTGTCCCTCTACAGGGGGAATATTCAAAAATAGTCAAAAATAGTGGGGGGACGCTTATTATTATTATTATTGTTATTATTACCATTCTTCTTATTATTATTATTAGTAGTATTATCATTATTCGTATTCTTATTCGTAATATTATCATTTCTATTATTATTATTATCATTCGTATTATTATTATGATTATTATTATTGTTATTATTATTATTATTATTATTTTTATTATAATTTTCATTATTATTATCATTATCATTATCCGTATCATTCTCATTATTACTAGTATTGTTATTATTTTATTCGTCTTAGTATTCGTATTATTATAAGTATTATTGTTATTATTAATTTTGTTAGTATTATTATGTATATTATATTGAAGCATGTTTGAATATGTTTGACCGTGTTTTACTTTCGCCCAAAATCCCCTTGTAGGGGGACACGCCCGACCTAAATCGTGCGGGATCGGCTTGGGTAGTAAGTCGGGCACGTCCCTCTACAGGAGGAGCATTCAAACATAACCGAAAAACACTCTGGGAACATTATTTTGTTTGTTGCGTATCTTGCTTACTATGTTTGAACATTTCTCTGGGTATTCTTGTTATGTTTCGCCACAACTCCCCTTGTTGTAGCCATGCTCACCAGAAGTATTGCTGAGCATCCAAGAGGTACCGAAACTCGAGGCTCTTCGCGCGTCGGGCCCTGGGAGACACTCGTCCGACACCGTGTCGACACCGTCGCGGCACTCTCTCGACACTCTTCTGGGTGCTCGACATTATGAATCGCTTCGCTCATTCCGCCGGCCCTGGGGCCCTCCTTAGGGCCTCTTGGGGGCCTCTTGGGAGTCTCCTGGGGCTCCTCGGCGGCGTCTTGGGGGCCCCCGGGGCCTCTCGGGGGGACTCTTTCGACACTTTTCCGGGCGCTCGAAGTCATTTCTGGGATGTGGCCCGTAGGTGCGACGGCAGCAACATCATTGTAGGGGGGCATGCCCGGCCTAGCTCTGGCACGCCGTCGCGCGGATGGTTTGTGGGCGGGGCCGCCTCGTCTCCCGAGCAGCCGAGCAGCGCGCCGCGCATGTTCTTCCCCCGGAAGAGAGCTCGCACTTGTCGGGCCGGACGAAAGGGGGGGATTGGGAAATGGGGGGTTACCAAATTTGCTGCATGCAGCTGGTTTCGGCCCACCGAGGGGCCCATTCCTCGATACATAGCCGCCTCCGGCGCCGGGAGGCGCCAGGAAAATCAGCTACGTGAGCTGATTCTCAACCCCCCCCTTTGCTATCCCCACCTTTCGCCCGACCCGCACTTGGGGTTTCGGTTTTGTCTTGCTAAGTTTAGGTCGGGCCTGACCCTGTACTGGCGGAATTTTCGAAAGTATTAAAACAACAGTTGTTTAATTGCTTTTTGAACATTTGGGAACATCTTTGGGGTATTTTTTAATTTGTCGTCCAACATCCGCCCGTAGGGGGACATGCCCGACCCAATCTTACTCAGGAGTGGGACGGGCCAACACAGGTTTCGCCACTCTGCCGCGGCCGCCTCGTGCGCTGGGTGGCCCTGGCGAGGTTTCGCCACGTTGCCGCCCGTGGCCGCCTCGTGGCCGCCTTGTGCACTGCACCGCTCACCACACTGCTTGAACAGCCCAGCTTGGACCGCGCAGCGTACACATCCACAGTATAATAACCTAGTGTTGTTTACCAGCCTCGAACTTATCCCTATCCCTAAGATTGGCACGCCAAGAGGCGATGGCAATCTTAGGGGTTCGCCCTCAAAACATAAAGGGAATCCTTAATATTGGCTTCGTGATGAGGAGATGCCCAGCATAGGGATAGGGAGATGCTCCAGGCTGGTAAGTTGTGGGCCCACGCTCGCCAATGTAGCTCTATTGTTTCCCCGGCAGGGCTTGCACTTTGGGCATCCTGCTTGTCCTAAGAGAAACTGGGCTGGTCTGCCGCCCCGGCGGGCTTATGATCGCACCGTCGCCGCCTCATGACGACTCGTCGCCGCCGCAGCAGGGTTGATCTGCCGCCCCGTGTGGCTTGTGGTCGCTGTGTCGCCGCCCCGTCGCCACACGTCGCCGCCCGTCGTCGTTGCTCTTCGCCGCATCACATAAATTTCGCAGTATGGCTTACACCACGTATGCTACACCACGAGCATTGCACCAGATAGAGAGTTCGCACCGCAGAAATTACATTTAACCATGTAGATTGCACCAGATAGGTTCTCCTGTTTAAAAGAGAAAAAAGATACCTGCCCCCTTTTCCCCAGGAGCCAAAGGTGCACATTTTCGTATTTTAATTAACCTATGGTTCTGCCCCATGGTCCATCCTAAATGTGAATTCGTATCATCCCAGCTAAACCGATATCGCCTCCCCGTCATCCTCTGCTAAAAACTACCCAGGCGAAGGACCCAACTAGATGCAGTTGTGAGAAACGCAATTGTTGGTATCGTCTTCCGTGGAGCTCTTTATGGCGCACGAAACGTACGAGGGGTTTGCCAGCATGGGCGCGATGGTGTCATGCGAGCACAACCGCTGGGGCCTTCGGTGGAGCTTCCCATTGGGCCACGAAGTGCTTGAGGGGTGTGCCATGCGAGCGCAGCCACTGGGGCCTTCGGTGGAGCTTCCTATGGGGCCACGAAACGTGTGAGGGGTGAGCCGAAATGGGCGGGGTGGTGTCATGCGAGCGCAGCCATTGGGGCCTGCCACGAAACGTGTGAGGGTTGTGCCGAAATGGGCGCGGTGGTGTCATGCGAGCGCAGCCATTGGGGCATTCGGTGGAGCTCCCCACGGGGCCACGAAACATGTGAGGGGCGTGCTGACATGGGTGCGATGGAGTCATGCGAGCGCAGCTAGTGGCGCCTTCGGTGGAGCTCCCTTCGGGGCCACGGGATGGGTGCGGTGGTGCCATGCGAGGGCAGCGGCCTTCGGTGAAGCTCCCAACGGGGCCACGAAAAGAGTGAGGTGTGTGCCGCGACAGGAACATGCGGAGGGCAGAGGCAAAAAGGGGGAGGAGAGAGGAGGGGGAGAAGGCCGGGAGGTGACGCGGGGCGTTGTCTCGTCAAAGCGAGGACCCAACACCACAAGATGGTTGGGAATTATGCGTTCGCACTCCTTTAAAACAGATCATAAGTTTATAAAAATCCCTTGCAACACATGGGACGAAGTCCACACGCTCGCTTCGTCGCGCGCATGCCGAAATCCTTCAGCAACCATAGGTTTCGTTTCGTAGGAACTTGAACATCTAGTATCCGTCACCTTAAAACACATGGTTCCTCAACAAGGACTTTCAAACAGAAAGCTTGCGCTCGCGCTCTTGCGAATTCTTAAGAAAACCATCGGTTGTTCAACATTCGCGCTCGCACATGTCGAAATCGCCCTTGCTCGCGTGCTGACGCAAGCATTCGTTTGCAACACGTGGGACGAAGTGCACACGCGCGCGTCGTCGCGCGCGCACGCCGAAATCAGTCAAACACCATAGGTTGCGTACGAACTTCAAAACCGAGTATCCCGATGCCTTCTAAAAAACATACGACTTCGCAACAACAGTGTTCAAAAAAAAAGAACTTGCGTTCGCGCTCCTTCGAATCCTGAAGAAAAGCAGCGGCGTTTCAACATATTCATGAAATTCTGCCAAACGGGCTTCGAGTGCCGCGTGCCGAAATCATTCGAACGCCCTTGCGCGCGTTCTGGGGGGCACGATCCGTATCAAATAATACCATGCGGGCCACCTTCGCATGTCGAACTCCTTCCACAACCTTCATCACCAGGCG